GTACAGATACTCAGCCTCCCAGTACTATCGCCAAGTGGGTTAATGCTAGGAGGCCGATCGGGTATTTTGTCACATTCTAGTGCTGCAACTTTCCAAACCTTTACTCTTGGGAAAGGGCAAGGAGTTGCTTGTGGATACCCAGTTGTCTCAATACAGTCTCACTATAGATACTAGGCATGAACACCAAACTCAGCCCAGGCTCCCTTGATTCTGCAAACAAATGAACAGCAATAGCTGGCCCATTAGGACTACATCTTTAGTGGGGCTGAATGTTTTCTTCTCATCAATATTTGATTCTTGTGCAATAACAGATGATTTTTATTTTGTTCTTTGGCCTTTTTTGTACTTTTCAAATTTTCTACAGGGATAAGGTTTTGTTGTTGTTTTGTTTTTGTTTTTGTTTTACTAAAATGCTATTAGGAAATTCATAATAAGCATGACTTATGACAGCATTGCTTTTTGTCCATGCTTTTCCTTCTTGGATCTTGCCTGGCTCCATCAAGATTAGTATTTGTGAGCTGTATCAGTCAGGGTTCAGCTGGGGGAAAGAGAAACTACACCAGCTGATTGTAGCAGGAACCGAATCAGGGGCTTACCAAGTTGGTGGAAGGGTTGGAGGAATGGGTTCTGAGTTGTGGCCCCCAGGAATGATCTGGAACACCGCAATGAGACCTATGATCCAGACATCAAGGGCCATCCTTGTTCCATGAAGGGGTGTCCGCAATGCTGGAATGCTGTTGAAAAATACAGTTTCTCTTGACCTTGCTTGTCCCCATAGGAAGACACCCCATCTCACCTGCTCCTCCCAAATCTTGGGCCCCAGCCTCTAATGGTCAGATCCTCATTCACGTCCAAAAATCTAGGGGCAAAGGAGGGTGAGAAGTGTACTTTTCAGTTTTTTAGCCTGTGAGGTAAAGGACGGGACTCTGGCAGGAGGCTGGGATGGACATGAATGGGGTCAATCCATCCAGACCAGCCTCCGTATATCAAGATTTTGACATTTCTTTTGGCTCGAAACTTACCTGAGTTAAACAACTGATGATACCCACCCCCCTTCTCTCTCTGTCTCTCTCTGGCTGCGTAAAATTTATCTTTGCAGTGTGAAATGACTTTTTCCTGTGTGTGGAGTCTATACATTTACCTCTGAAACCCTTGAAACCAGGAGAAGCAGTTTCCTGCGATGAGTCCTCGCATCTGACTTCAAGTGCTCTGAGTTTGGCCGGTGCTGAAATGAAATCCACTTTTTCTACAGGAAGTGCGAAACTCCTGTGCATTACAGGAAGTAAGAGCTTCCACATATTCTCTTGAGAATAATGAACACTTCCCGGAGGAAACAATATAACTTAATAAGACTTTTTTCAATAAAGAACCAACTGCTTAAGAACACACTCAGAGGGAAAAAGCATTTGAGAAGATGCTTCACTTCACGAATAATTAAAAGCAAATCAAAAACAAGAGTGGCTCATCAGATCAATAACAAGGAACAGGCTCGAGTATCTACTCGGGTCCGGTACTTTTGCTGTGAGCGACTTTGCCGTAGACATCTTTGCTGCAAGCATTTTTTGTCACATAACTAATTGGCCATAAGGCGATTTTGCCATACAAGATAAAATAACTGGTTGACGTTTGGTTTCATTTCTCCATTGACAAAGTTCCCATTTTTATGTTATATAAATTGCTAGCCCTCATAATGGTTTAGACAGTGTTGAATAGAGGTGGTGATCTTAAAATAGTGGGTGATAACAACTATGTATATCTATTTTTTTTTTTAAGATTTTATTTATTTATTTGACAGAGAGACACAGCGAGAGAGGGAACACAAGCAGGGGGAGTGGGAGAGGGAGAAGCAGGCTTCCCGCCGAGCAGGGAGCCCAACGCGGGGCTCCATCCCAGGACCCTGGGACCATGACCTGAGCCGAAGGCAGAGGTTTAACGACTGAGCCACCCAGGCGCCCCTATGTGTATCTATGTGATAGAAAGTTCGGTGACAAAGCTTACTGGCAGTGTGACATAGCCTGTTGAGTAGACTGCCTACTATACTAGGCCAGAAAATGTTATCTTATCAGTTACAGAGATAACAAAGCTCAGTTATAAATGCTTTACAGCATTGGCATTTCTTCCACATTTCCCATAGAACTTGGAAATGTCTGTCAGCAGACAGGTGACAGTATGCCAAGAGCGAACAAGGGTGTGGAAGGCTTTCACAATGCAACATGAAGCTCAGTGACAAATACGCATCCTACTATTTGGAAACGGATACCTCCCTTAATGAAAAGAAATTTTATTCTTTTAGGTTTGCATTTATTTTAATTTTATTTATTTATTTGAGAGACAGAGAGTGAGCGGGGAGAGGAGCAGAGCGGAAGGGAGACGGACAAGCAGACTCTGCACTGAGGGTAGGAGCCCGACCTTGAAATCACCACCTGAGCCGAAACCAAGAGTCAGATGCTTCACTGACTGAGCCACCCAAGTGCCCCTGAAAAGAAATTTTAATGTAAAAAAAAAAAAAGTGTGATGCAATCAACAGGCAAATAATTAAAAAAAATGCATACTGTAGTCCCCCCTCATCTGGAGTTTCGCCTTCCGGAGTTTCGGTTCCCCCTGGTTGGTTTCATTTACCCTAGTCAGTCAACATTAGCAAAGGCAGATGATTCTCCTCCTACATCATCATGTCATCACAAGAGGAAAGGTGAGCACAGCCCGGTAAGATGTTTTGAAAGAAAGGGAGAGAGAGACTGCATTTATATAACCTTTATTACAATATATTGTTATGTTTTATTATTAGCCTTTGTTGTTAATCTCTTACTGTGCCTAATTTATAAATTAAACTTCATCATAGGCATGTCCATACAGGAAAAAACATAGCATATATAGGGGTTGGTGTGGTTTCAGGCAGCCACTGGGGGTCTTGGAATATACACCTTATGGATAAGGGGGAACTACTGTATTACTATGAATGAAAGACTTTGAAGACTTGCGCTTAGGTACAATCCACAAAATAAAATCAATTATTTGTGCAGTGTTGCCATGATTCCACACTCGACATCTTGAATGAATTCAAATGTTTTGTATTTCCCAATATTTTTAATTCCATTATTCATTTTTCATGTTTCCGTACGTGCTTTTAATCAATGTTCCTCTTTCGTTTTTCGTGATTTCGGTTTTTACGACAAATTGCCTTATGGCGATTCTATTAATTTTTTCCTATCTCATTATTTTTTAAAAATGTCCCTTTTTATTTTGCATTATTTTATCTTTTATGGCAAAATTGCCTTCAGTCAATAGTTTTACAGTGAAAGACGTTTGCGGTAGAGATGTCTATGGCAAAGATGTTTACGGCTGAAGTTACCTGGACCCGTGTCCGCTCTGAGTGTGGGTGCAGAGAACAGCTTCTCTCAGCAACCACAACTGGTGGGGTAAAAAGGCGCAAAGTTTGGGAAGGAAATTTGGCAGGGCCTACCAAAAAACTGAACATTGGGACCTCTGGGTGGCTCAGTTGGTTAAAGGTTTGCCTTTGGCTCAGATCATGATCCCAGGGTCCCAGAATCGAGTCCCACATGGAGCTCCCTTCTCAGCGGGGAGCTTGCTTCTCCCTCTGCCCCTGCCACTCCCTCTGCTTGTTCTCTCTCTCTCTCTGATAAAGAAATAAATAAAATCTTAAAAAAAAAAAAAAACCCCAAAACAAAAACACACAGAAAAAAACCCTGAATATCTCCCTTGGGACCCAGCCATTCTGTTTCTGAGAAAACACCTTTCAGAAATGTTTTCATATACAAACAAAAATATATTTATAGAAATCATCTTTGAAACATGGGGTTACAATTACAAAAATTTGGGAAAAGCCCAAATTTTCCATTGGATCAATAAATCCAATGGAATACTATTTTGTTCTGCAGGATACTTGATATAAATTCTATCAAGGAGTCAGACTGAAAGCACGACTTCCTCTAAGAAGTCACGAGGATTTTACTTACCTCTCAGGGTTCCCCAGTGAGGAAGGAAAGGTTGAACTTGGATGTCTTAATTGTCAAACACCTTGGGTTTAAAAGAGGGAGGGTTGTTACCTTGGAGAGGGAAACAGTGACCTAGCTGCCGACAGACAGACAGACCGCTGATTTCGGTCCATCTCCACATCCCTGCCCGTGTAGGTTGGGGTGGGAGGGGGGCAGGTAAGTTCCACTCCAGCTTTTGAAAATTTCAAGGAGAAAGGTCATCAGCTGAAGGCTGAGAAGCTAGTGTGGGTAAAATGCAATATTCTTCTAAATATTCTAAAATGCATGGGGAATACAGGGACATTGCTGAACTCCCCTCCTTCAATATTCATATTGACTGTCTCTTGGAGTTTTGAACCCTTGCTCTCACTCGTTTAAAAAAAAAAGAAACCCTTTGGGGCTTGGAAGGAAGAAGGGAGTCTCCCCTGCTCTTTGGCCCCAACCTCCCTTAAGGTACTGTTTATTGTGGAATCCCACCACCAAAGGAACATAAATAAGAAAGGCGAGTCATGGAACAGTATATACTGAATGGTCCCATCCATGAACATAAGAATAACAATATGTAATGCTATGCTATTTTCCATATTAAAAAAAAAAAAGATCTCAGAAAGGCTTATTCAAAACAATGGCTATGTCCAAGTGTGGGGGTGTTATGTGGCCTCTGGTGTTTTAAGTCACACACAGACACGTATTATTCTTGAAGGAAGCTGCTCTGTTTCCAGCCAAGTTGCCCACAGGCTTGCCGGCTTGTTTTGATAAGATAAGACCTTCAAAGTCTGTCCTGGACTGCTTATTTTCCTGTTCTCTGGTGGGAGCAGAGAGATCTTACTTTTCAATGGAGGGACAGTCACCTGTTAGTGCAAGGGCCTGCCTCTTCCCCGAAACATGCCTCCTTCCAACTTGGACCTAGTACCCAAGATCCTGATAGCTGATCACATTCCCCAGGGAATTCCAGAGTGGTCAGAAAGACTTGGCCCTCAAGTATCACCTTGTGGGTGACATCTGCAGGTGAAAACCTGGGCCTCCCTTGGACTTACCAGGAAGGTCAGAGCTGCCGAGGAACCTTCTGTCACCAAGAGCAGAAAGACCTGTGAGTAATGCTTTGCCTTGGCTTCAGTATCTTTGATATTGGTTTTACATTTTTTATTTCAACATCAATCATTTTCTCTTGAAATTAATTTTATTTGCTTATTTTTCAGGGCCATGAAGGGACCACTTTAGAAGTGGCGGGATGTGGCAGTGTCATCTGTCTGGGATGCACACTTCTGCTGGACCACTCAAGGTGCTTCTTGTTCTAGCAGGAAGGGGAATATTCCAGTGGGTTCCTGCTTTGGAGGGGGAGATTGTTGTGCAGCTGAACCCTGAGCCTGGATGAGAGTTAGCTGGGTGGGGGCACCAGAACCTGGAGACCCAGACTGCTGAACAGCTGGGTGTGAAATAGAGCATACCACAAACTTGGGGGCTCGGCACTGCAGAAATGCATTCTTCCATAAGAGGCCAAAGATCCAGAATCCAGGTTTCATCAGGATTGGTTCTCTCTGGAGGCTCCAAGGGACATCGGTTCCATGCCTTTCTCCCAGTTTCTGGTGGTCGCCAGCAACCCTTGGCATTCCTGGGTCTGTAGATGCCTCACTCTGATCTCTGCCTCTGTCTTACATGGCTTTCTTTCTTCTGCATGCCTCCATGAGTCTCAAATCTCTCTGTCTTTCTAAGGACATCTGCCATGGGATATAGGGCCCACTCTAAATCCAGGATGATCTCATCTTGAGGTCTTTAACTTAATTACATCTGTAAAGACTTTTTTCTGAATAAGGTCACATCCCCATGTTTCAAAGGGTTAGGACTTGGTCATATCCTCTTGGGGGTCATTATTCAACCCACTACCAAGAGGGTCCAGCAAGAGTGAAGACACTGCTACTCTCATTGCCCTTTGGGCTACCACAGTTGGTCACGGCATGTTGCAAATCTCTCTCTGTCTAATAATTTGCATGATCTTATATTTGCAAAAGTTTCCAGCTCCTGGAACCTAAATTGCAGCCTTTCAGCCAGTTCAGACCTGGCTGGAAGATGGGTATAACGGGGCCCTTTTGCAGAAGACATTGGAGTGCTCAATGGAAGGGGAAATAGAGGGACACTTTGGGGCAGGTGATCAGTTCCTGAGGAGCAAGGTTCTTCTTGAAACTCCTCCTCTTCTCTGCTTGTTGTCACTCCCTGGCCTTGTGTTGGTGGGCACCCCCCTCCCCCATCCCTGCAACCCTCCCAGATAGGAAAGCTTGATTTGGGTTTGTTCAGTGTTTGGAGAGCTAGAGCCACTGCGTGGCATTCTGTTTGGGAGCTGTATCATGACAGAGAAGGTCTGGCCTGCGGCTTGAGTTTCTTGGTGAAACTGAGAGACCCAAGGTGACATGTCTGAGACCCCATGTGGACAGGAAGGAAGCCTCCATAGGGCGCAGGAACTTGGAAGCTGTCACTGAGTAAGATACTCCAGGAATCCTCACCTCACACCCTCTTTACCAAAGGGGGTAGCCATTTTTAAAAAAAGATTTTATTTATTTATTAGAGAGAGAGAATGAGCACGAGTGGGGGCAGAGGCTGAGCATGGAGCCTGATGCAGGGCTCCATCTCAGGACCCTGAGATCATGACCTGAGCTGAAACCAAGAGTGGGATGCCCAACTGACTAGCCACCCAGGCACCCCTGGGGGTAGTCATTTCTATAATTCGCCTGGTGGGGAACCAAGCCAGGAAAATACTGTTAACTAATTTTCAAAAATGGAGTAGATAAATAATACATATGTACTGTAGAAAACTGGGAACATTTGGCAAAAATAAATAAATAAATAAATGAATAAATAAGTAAATATCACCTATAATTCCATTCCAAATGAAAGTCATTTAAAGTATTTAGGTGATTATATTTCCATTTTTAAAAACACATGTGTATGCTTGAATATCATTTAAATTCTTCTGCATGTGCAATTTTATATCCCGAGTTTTCTATTTAATGTGCCATAACATATACAAATGAAAATAAACTCTGTATACAAAGTGTAGTTGTATATTAACAGTGACGTTAAATATGTATTTTGTGTTTACTGATTGCTTTTAAATTTGCATTTATTTTTGCATTCCTTTATAAAATAAAGAGAGTAACCCTTTGCCTGTAGTATTTGTTAAAAATAATTATTCCTAGTTTGGTTGTTCGCCTTTTAACCTTTGATAGTGTTTTTGATTTGCAGAAGTTTATGATTTTGACTAAGTCAAATCTATCATTTTTTCCTTATATGACTCTTCTCATTATGTTTTTTTTTTACTTAAAGTATACTAGGCCCAATGTGGAACTTGAAATCACCACCCTGAGATCAAGAGTCGCATACTCTACTGACTGAACCAGCCAGGTGCCCCTCATTATGGGTTTTATTCTTACAAAGCCCTTCACCCAAATTAAGTTATGTACTTATTTTTTTAGCTTTTTAAAGTAGTGTTATTTTTACATATAATGCTTTAATGCATCTGCAAATTATTTTATACTACAGTATAAAGTGTGGATCTAAACAGGTCCTCCCCACCTTCTAGCTAATGTCTTCAATACCATTTGCTGTATAACCCACCTCTTCTTGTTGGTTTGTGAGCTTTCTTTCTCATACACAAAATTCACATATTGTTTGGAATGGTTTCAGAGCTATTTTTTTCTAATTGATTGTTCATTGATTCTTGTTGACACAGCCTTCTTTTACTTCCTTAGCTTTATAATACATTTCATATCTGGCAGAGAAAATATCCCTTCTTTATCTCAATTATTTTTATCTTCCAAAAATATTATGTAACCTTACCTGTCAATTTTTCTAGGAAAATATAGCCAGAGAAAATTTGCCAGTTTTTATATTCAAATTCTGTCAAATTCTTTTGAATTTTAATCGAAACTATGATGAACTATGAATTACCAGCAGAGAATTAGTTTTTTTTTTTATATATATATAAGCTTTCCTTTCAAGAATGTGGATGTTTCTGTATTTTCTCAAATCTTTTATACTGCTTGTAGGCCTCATACATTTCTTCTTCAGGACAGAGTATTCTCTCTTTTTTAAGATTTTATTTATTTATTTGAGAAAGAGAGAGAAAGCATGAGCAGGGAGGAGGGGCAGAGGGAGAGGGAGAAGCAGACTCCCCACTGAGCAAGGAGCCTGATGTGGGGCTTGATCCCAGGATCCTGGGATCATGACTTGAGCCAAAGGCAGATGCTTCACTGACTGAGCCACCCAGGCGCCTCTGGACAGAGTATTCTCAAATTGCTTTATGGATGCCAAATTTCCTGCCATCACACCTTCTACCTGGTTATATAGAAATAAAGTAAAGAGTAAATAGAAAATATTGTAAATAACAGTAAATAGAAAAACTGGACCTTTTTGTGGTATTTATTTTTCACGCAGGCTCTTTTGTATTATTAATTCTAAAAATTTTCAACTGATCCCAATTTTCTGGCTTTGTAATTATATTTCTACCAGTGATAATACTATTGCCTATCTAGATTTATTTCATGAAAGAATGTCAATCTAAAATGGAATCAAAGGATACAAAGTGGAGAATCTCACACATGTATCCTCAGAAAAATAGAACCTAAGAACCAAGAGGCTGATTTCCATCAAATGCCTGACTTACAGAAGACAAGACTTATCTCCTGATTAATGAATATCTGCCAACAATCTTTCCCTATCCTCAAGCCAAGGAACCCATTGTTTGGACTCTGGCTGGACTTCCCCACTATGTGCTCCTCGATTGTAAAGACAGCCCACAAACCCAGCGGACTCCCCTATAGCTTGCTAAAGCTTGTGTTTCTGGCATTGCAGCCTCTGCTATTCCTAAATAAACTCAAATTTCTAATAATTTGAGCTTGCCTCAGTTTACCCCCTTATTTAGGTTGACATTCAATGGTGTCAGAAGTGAGATCGGAAAGAGACAACCTGCCTTACCCCCTGCAGGGAAGAGGAGCCTCAGAATCAAACAAGTCGCCTGAACTGAGCCCCTTGAGCTCAGTGCTTTCATGAGTGACATTCTGCTTCCAGTTTTATGAGTTTCCTGTTGAATTTCAAGCTCCCTCCTTTTGGTTGAGCTTTCTGACTTTTTCTGGGATTTGGATAAGGACAGATTGTCCTTCTGGTAAGTACTCTTTTGATTTCTGAATTTAGAATGCACTTGGTTTCTGAATTTAGAATGTGCTTGGTTTATGAATTAGAATGTGCTTGGTTTAGATTTAAACTTGTGAATTTTCCTGAGAGCAAGACTAAAACCAAAGCCGATGGCATGGTTGAGCACCTGCATGCTGCTAGAGCACTTGCCACCTTTCTAAGAGAGACAGCCATCTCTGAAGCACAAGACTACTGTGTAAAGATAAGGTGATCACAGACGAGGGAGATTCATATTAGGTCACTTGCCACCAGCAAGAAAATTCTGTGCAACAAGGGAGACCTGGTCACAGGTCAGATAAATAGGGCAGAAGCCGTCTGTCAGGAAAAAGGAGTATCCTGAGAAAGGCATGCTGTCAAACAAAACTGACATCTCAACCTCAAGCATGTCCCCTTGGCTATCTAAGAATTTTTTTTTTTTTTCTCTCAGGAACATTCCAAAAATGGGATCTTAGTCATCTAAATGCTTTAAGAATGGCCCCCTCCTTAGCAACTGTGGTTGGTTTTATGTTAAAGAAATTATGGTCTCTCCTCATATGCATGGACCAATCTTACTGAAGACAACTTAGAACAATGACCATTATGAGGAATGTTCTAACTAGATAAGATCGTTTATTTAAAAAATGCACTCGGGGGTGCCTGGGTGGCTCAGTCGTTAAGCGTCTGCCTTTGGCTCAGGTCATGGTCCCAGGGTCCTGGGATCGAGCCTCACATCGGGCTCCCTGCTCCGCGGGAAGCCTGCTTCTCCCTCTCCC